GCGGGTACATTCACAAACAGAACGTGGGCTGCAAGTGGTGGGTGGGAGAAACCTAGGTTCCAAGTGGGCACACTCTCTGGCATCCAAGTGCTCCTTGGTCTGTGGGGGAGCACGTGGCTGGAGGGGAGCCAGGCCCAGGCCACCTAAGTGCAGGGCATTGACACACACTTTTTACTCATCATCATATTTCCTCTTCAGATCAGCTTCATGAGGTAGGTTTTACAAGATGCCCATTTTTTCCAGGGAAGAAAGTGAGATTAGAGAAGAAAACAGACTCATCCACAGTCACAAAGCTGGAAAGTAAGTGGCAGTCTTGGCAATGTGAACCCCAAGGATTGTCCTGACTCTCCTAGACCAAGCTGTCACCCCTGCTGGAATCAAACTGCTCCTTGGCCAATTTGTCCACTCCCAAGCCTGTCCTGTGGCTTGAGAACAGGAGCTTTAGATGCTGTAAGGCCCCAGGATGAGATGCCTGTGACCTGGGGCCCTGCTTTTACCTTTGCTCCCCAAAGCTGGAAAGGGACCGGAGCAAAGAGAGGGTGCGGTCTGCTCTGCACCCATCTGACTCCTGCCCGGCAGCACTGGAGCTGGGACCAAACCCTGCTTCAGCCACTAATCTCACCCTGTGACTCTGAGTCTCTGTATCTTTATTTGTAAAATGAAGATTTTTAAATGAGCCTAAGAGAAAAGGAAATTAAGAAAGCAATCCCATTTATAACAGAATCAAAAAGAATAAAATACTTACGAATAAACTTAACCAAGGAAGCAGAAGACCTGTACACTGAAAACTACAAAACATCACTTAAAGAAATGAAAGATGACACAAATAAATGGAAAGACATCCCAAGCTCATGCATTGGAAGACTTAATATTTTTAAAATGTCCATAATACCCAAAGTGTTCTACATATTCAATGCAATGTCTATCAAAATCCCAATGTCGTTTTTTGCAGAAATCAAAAAGCCCATTCTAAAATTCATATGAAATCTAAAAGGACCCCAAATAACCAAAACAATATTGAAAAAGAAGAACAAAGCTGGAGGTCTCACAATTCCTGATTTCAAAACATACTACAAAGCTATGGTAATGAAAATAGAGTGGTATTGGCATAACGACAGACACATAGATCAATGGAACAGAATAAAGAGCCCAAAAATAAACCCTCACATCTATAGTCAAATAATTTTTGACAAGTGGGCCTGGAATGCACAATGGGGAAAGGACAATCTTTTCAACAAATGGTGCTAGGAAAACTGGATATCCACATGCAAAAGAATGAAGATGAATTCTTGTCTTACACCATATACAACATTTAACTTAAAAATTAAAGACCTAAACCTAAGCCCTGAAACTATAAAACTCCTAACAGAAAACATAGGATAAAAGCTTCACAACATTGGGATGGGTAATGATTTCTTGGATTTGATACCAAAAGCACAGGCAATAAAAGCAAAAATAGACAAATGGGACTATTTGGTTTTGGGTTTTGTTTTTTTGTTTTTGTTTTTGTTTTTGTTTTGGTCAAACTTAAAAAATTCCATGCAGCAAAGGAAAACAATCAACAGAGTGAAGAGGCAACCTTCAGAATGGGACCATATATCAGATAAGGGGTTAATATTGAGAACTCCTATAACTCAATAACAAACAACTCAATTTAAAAAGGCAAAAGACTTGAATGGACATTTTCCCAAAGAAGATATACAAATGACAACAAGCACATGAAAAGATGCTCAACATCACTAATCATCAGAGAACAACAAATCAAAACCATAATGCAGGATCACCCCACACCCATTAGGATGGTCATTATGAAAACACAGAAAATAACAAGTGTTGGTGAGAGTGTAAGAAATTGGAACATATAAGATAATAATAGGTTCACACCTATGATCCCAGCACTTTGGGAGTCTGAGGCAGGAAGATTGCTTGAGGCCAGGAATTCAAGAACAGCCTGGGCAACAGAACAAGACCCTATCTCTACAAAAAGATTTAAAAATTAGCCTGGCAAGGTGGCGTATGCCACTTGTCCTAGCCATTCCCTGAGTCGCTTGGGTCGCTTGAGCCCAGGAGTTGGAGGTTATAGGGAGCTATGATCGCACCACTGCACTCCAGCCTGGGTAACAGAGCAAGACCCTGTCTCTAAAAAAAAAGGAAAAATTGGAAGCCTTGCCCACTGTTGGTGGGATTATAAAATGGCGCAGCTGCTGTGGAAAACAGTATGGAGGTTCCTCAAAAAATTAAAAATAGAACGATCATCTGACCCAGCAATTCCACTTCTGGGTATACTGAATATCCAAAAGAACTGAAAAGAGGATCTTGAAAAGATACTTGCACACCCATGTTCATAGCAGCATTATTCACAATAGCTGAGCAGTGGACACAACCTAAATGTCCATCACGGATGAATGGATAAACAAAATGTGGTATAGACAGACAATGAAATACTATTCAGCCTTAAAAAGGAAGGGAATTCTGACACATGCTACAACATGGATGAACCTTGAAGACATTATGCTAAGTGCAATAAACCAGTCACTGAAAGACAAATACTGTACGATTCCGTTTATATTAGGCATCTAAAGTAATCACATGCACAGAACCAAAAGTAGAATGATGGTTGCCAGGAACTGGGGTGAGGGGGAAATGGGGAGTTGTTCAATGGATACGAAGTTTCAGTTATGGGAGATAAGAGTTCTAGAGATCCGTTACACAACGTGACTATAGTTAACACGCCTAAACTGTATACCTAAAAACTAGTAAGAGGGCCTCTGATGAAACCTATGTTGGTAGTGACATCTGACAGTGTTAATGAGAATGCCAACTGCTCTGATGAAAAAAAAAATTGTCAAGAGAGTAAATTTATGCTGTTTTTTTTACCATACTAAAAAAAAATGTTTTTTAATGGGCCTGAGAGATGGCAGATTTGAAAGCACATTGTATATTTTAACTTGGAATGATATGACTTAATAGTTGTGCAATCTCTGGTAAAACTGCTTCTCTTCTCTGAGCTTTGTGAACTAAAATAAAATCTTAAGTCCCCCAGATGATTGAATGGACCCCCTCTTGGCCAAGGGGACCCCCAGAAATACCCTAAAGCTGCATTGCTGGCCATGAGAAGGGAGGTCTTCATGTCCGCCTCCCTTCTTGGAGATATCCCTTGTAACTCATGAACGGGCCTAAAGCTACACAAGACAAAGCTTAAACCACACCGCCAGGTCATCAATTTACTTAACAGATCCCTTGAGTCTGGGTGTATGTCGGGTGACTTGTCTCTAACAGACTTTCTTAACTTAAAACTCTACGAGCCTTTAGACAAAGCTTCATTTCCTTAACCAATTTACAAATCAAAGAATCTTTAAATGCACCTATAATCCATAATGCCCCACTCAGAGATGTCCTTTTCAGGCCAAACCAATGTACCCCTTCCATGTATTGATTTATGACTTTATGTGTCATTCCTGTCTCCCTGAAATGTATAATATCAAACTGTAACCCAACCACGGCAAGACCACTTGCTCAAGGCTTGTTGGTTGTGGCTCTCTGGGCCATGATCACACTTATTCAGCTCAGAATAAATCTCTTTAAATTATTTTACATAGTTTGGGTTCTTTGCTGTTGACAGCTTCATCTGTAAAAGGTGGATAGTAGGGCCGGGCGAGGTGGCTAACACCTGTAATCCTAGCACTCTGGGAGGCCGAGGCAGGAGGATCACTTGAGCTCAGGAGTTCAACACCAGACTGAGCAAGAGTGAGACCTTGTCTCTACAAAAAACAGAAAAAATTCACCAGGTGTGGTGGCGCATGCCTGTAGTTCCAGCTACTCGGGAGGCCAAGGCAGAAAAATCGCTTGAGCCCAGGAGTTGGAGGTTGCAGTGAGCTATGATGCCACCACTGACTGCACTCTACCCAGGGCGACAGAACGAGACCCTATCTCAAAAAAAAATTTGATTTAATAAAGAAATAAAATGTGGACAGGAACACATCTCCTTTACAGGGCTTTTCTAAGCATCAAGTGAAATAAAGAATGAATAGTATTTAAAGAACAATAGTTAAAAACACAGGCTCTATAGTAAGACAAACCTGGGTTCAAATCCTGCCTATGTCACTTCCTAGACACAGGACCATTGCCAAGGATGGCCTCTCTGAGTCTCAAGTCATTGCTCTGTACGTGGAGCTGACAACAGCCCAGGCACATACCTCTCCAGAGTGGTGTGAAGATTCAGTGAAATGAGTGTGAAGTGCTTAGCACAGTTCAAGTTATTTACAATCAACAGCTCTAAAAAGCTGTGTCTACAGGAAATCAAGACAATCTGCTAATTAGATCAGATCGAATGTTCTCCAAATGTTTCACTGCTCACATCAAGTTCACCCCAGCTTGAAGCCCCCTACGTCGGGCTGCCAGATATATCATTACATTACCCGTCCAAGCTCCTGGGAACCAGTTAGGGTCTTTTTTATGGCAGCTGGGGTCAGTTGGCACAATGACATCGGCCAATTCTTACCCAAGGCAAGTGATTTAATTTCCATGAGTTTCTGTTTACTCATCTGTAGAATGGAGATAATAATAATGCCTACCTTATAGGGTTGTTGTAAGGACTGAACAGGACATGCATGGTTTATAGTGAGAGCTCACTGAGTGTTGGCTATTGTTAGTCTTACTTCTCTACCCATGACAGGGCTCCCACAACGATAGGTATCAAGTTGCATTATAACAGCTGCTGAATTCTCCCTCCTGGGCTGGGAACTCCCTGGGGCCCAAGCTCCTGGCACGTCACCAGCACCCATGGCAGGGCCTCCTTCACAGCAAGTTCTCAAGAAACCCCACACACAGTCACAGTGTCCCTCACCCTTCACTTCCAAACCCTCACAGAGCAGCCGCAGCCACTCCCAGCCCCCAGATTCCCAGGGGACAGTCCCAGTTTCCTCACGGGAATAATGTCAACATGACAGATAAACCTCTAAAGCGCTTGACATATAGTAGGTGCTCAATAAATGAGTTACCTCCTGTTCTGACCTCCTCTGTTGCTTGACATTCGTGTCCTGGCCTGGCCGTGCTGGCCATACCTCACAGAGTGGTTTCATGCTCATTTCTGCAGGATTCAGAAGGATTTGAGGGGCACATTAGGGGAGCAAGTATCCTGAGCTCTGGGGAATTCTGTGTCACTTGCCGCACCTCCTGAGACAAAGGAGTCCAGCACCGTGCTGGGCACTTTTATTGCTTGATGAATGGAGTTCCTTGTGCAGGAGAAGGACAGTGATGGGCTTAGGGCCCCAGAGATGGCGTGGTCTGGGTCCCAGTCAGAGTTACCCAGTGTTCCTTCTCACTGGGGACTCTACCCTGACCCCAGGTATGTGTACCACATTGATGAGATTCAGTCCCTGCCCCACTGGCCTAGGAAATCCCTATAAAGTTGCAGGCCCCCTAACTTGGCCTGGGTCTCTGCTCCTGCCTGCCAAGTCATATCTGTGAGTCACCCTTCCCCTCACCTTGCTTCCTGGAAGTTGGCCAGGGCAGGGCAGGGCAGGGAGAGTGAGGAGGTGCCTCCTCCTCTGGGCTTCCCCAGCACTGGGCACACCCCTCTGTTCTACCAGGAATCGCCCTGACTTCCCAGCCCGGCAGCTCCGGTGTCCAGCTGGTGTCCCCGAGGCCAGTCCAGGACCTGGCCAGGGAAGAGAGTAGGTCTAGGCACAGGCCCTGGAGCCACACAGACTTGAGTCTGCACCTGGCTCTGCTCTTTCCTTGCCGTGTGGTCTTTGGCTGTCCCAACCTCCGTTTCCTCCTCTGCAAAACGGTAAAACCGTCCTTACAGGGTAGTCATAAGAGCAGAATGAAGCAATTTACTCAGTAACTGTGAACTCCCTTCCCCGCTGTCCTCAGAACGTATTTGTTGAATAATTGAATAAGGAAGCAAACAAACTGGCCATGCACCAAGCCAGCCACATCTCCTCTTTTGGAAGAAGCAACCAGGGGTGGCAGGAGAGAAAAGCGCAGGAATTGGAATCCGGACCCAGGCTCTGGCCTCGGCGAGCCGCCCACCGCCTAGAGTGAGTCTCTCCCCAGCTCTGAGCCTTGGGATTTTTATCTGCAAAATGCAGTGTCCGGCTTACCTCGAAGCATTGTTGTAAAAAGGAAGTGAGATTATTGGGGGTGACAAAGAGTTTGGTAAACAGTAAAGCACTTGGTAAACCGAAATGGGCTCTACAAACTGTGAAGGGCTATGCATAATGTATAAATTCGTGACATGCTTCTCCCATCAGTGAGCTGGGCTGGACTCAGAACCCAGGCCCTGAGGGTCCCCCTCCTGCAGAACTAAGGGGACAGGGAGGGGCGGCTGAGTAGTGATTCTCCCCACTCATATTCTCTCTCCCCCCAACACACACATGCTCAAACACATACACACGTGGTCTGGCACTGGTTCCCCTGGCTGAAGACGCGCAGAGGCGTATCAACCTCTCAGCTGGTTTTGTTGGTGTTCCTGCTTCCAGGAGCTGTTGGGCTGGCCTGGGCCCACCTGCAGGCACATGTGGACACAGCCAGAGCCAACTCCCGTCCACCCCACACAACCACAGACACACGTGCAGCCACAAAGATACGCCAGAGGCTTCTCCTTGCTCTCACCATTCTGCCAAGGAACCTGAGTGTGGCTGGTTTGAGAGGTGACAGGGCCCAGTCATTTGCCATTTAGGAACCAGCATTCCCAACCCAGACACCTCCCCCCTAGGACATATCAGGGAGAGTTCCCAGGAGGGGTGCTACCAAAAAGGAGAGTGCCTTCCTCTTCAGCAAGGCCTTGCTCACCGGCCTGGGGTGAGAAGTGGAGTCTCTGCTCCCCACAAAACGACAAACACGATCCCAGCCTCTTGTCATAGCCACCTCCAACCCCAGCACCAACCACAGGAAAGTCCGTCTTGGAGGCACATTTTGTCATGAATGCTATAGACTGTAAATCCCTTACCTAAACCTTCCATGGCCAGTTGGGGAAACTGAGACCCAGAAAAGAGAAAGGATTTTCCCAAGGTGACAAGAGTATCCCGGACAGAGCTGGGACTCACTGTCCATTCCCTTCCAACGACAACCTACTGCTCTATCATTTGTCTATTCAGTGTACATTCTAAGCATGTACCACATGGCAAACTCTGTGCTAAGGGCAAGGATAAAATAATGAATAAAATAAGTCTCTCATCCTTAAGGCATTTACAGTAAAATAAAGAATGACAGCATCAGCCTTAGTAGTAATGCATCAGCTCACATTTGTGCAGCATTTTCCAATTGACAAAGCATTTTCCTACCCTGCCTTTTACTTTGTCCTCCCGACAAACCCATAAGTCAGTATTTTCACCGCAATCTGCAGAGGAGTAAAGCAGGGCTGCTCGGTGGCCCAGTGGCCCAGTGGCCCAGTGCCCGGTCCTGACTTGTAAGCAAGACCGGAATCAAAACCCCAGGTGCCCCCCCACCCCCAGGGCCATTCCTTCACCTTCCAGCCAACTTCTTTCCCTGGCTGGCTTGTCAGGACCTAAAGATAGGGACATCTGTTTTTCTTTTTTGCTTCCCTCGCCATCCCCTAAGCTCCCCTCCCATGCACACCCCCCCAAACATCTGGAACACAGCTGGGTATTGGATCAGAGCTAAATGAGAGTGGCCTGAATGTCCGGGGAGAGCCTGCTGGTTCTCCCATTCTTCACAGGTGGGCGAGCGCACAACCCCACGTCTGGTCCTCCTGCCAGTGAAGGACAGGGGGTACCCGCCTGGGCCCTGTCCCCAGCACCTGGGACCAGAAAGGGGAAAGTGTGAGCCTGGTGCTTTGTACCAACAACCTGGTTATTTTCAGCATCCCCCAGGAAACGCAGCATTTCGCGAGCTCCTTAGTACCCAGCCCTGTACCAGATCCTTACCCCTCCTAGCAAGTATGCCGAGAAATGGCATTATCCCCATTTGACAATTTAGAAAACTACACAGAGAGAGCGTGTTTCTCGGCCAAGGTCACACAGCTGATAAAGTAGATGGCATTCGGCCCCCAGAGATCTAATTAACCCCCTCTCATCACCACTGTCACCTCCCAGGGAGGTCTCTGGGGTCACCTCAGTGCTGCCTTGGCCTCAGAGAACCAAAGAGGGGTTTGGGGTTCCCTGGGAAAGTTTGGTCATCAGAAGTTCTTTCTAAACATGAGACTGGCCCTGAGAAATATACCAGTCCTTAAAAACAGAACCACCCATCTGCTTAGGTGCAGCCTAGAGGCATGGCCTTGGGCACCTGAGAACATTTTCATATGCCCCCCTTGCCCTGCCACCCCCCTGCCCAGCTGGAGCTGGGACCCCTCTTACCTGCAGCAGGGGCAGTAGCTGCGAACCCTCAGGGGCTGAGTGTCTCCGTCCGGTCCCGGCCCCAGCCCCAGCCTCTGCGCTGTCTGGCAATTGCAGAAGTGAGGAAACAGAGCATATCACTGCCAAGTCACCCCTGGGAGGAAATGCTGTGACTCTAGGACCCCTCCAACGGATGCCACCTCCAAGCTGGGCCACCCAGCCCTGAGCACCGCGCACAGGCTTCTGAGGGACAGGGTGGGGCGTGGACAGCGCCCCGAGCCGGGGACCTGCAGCGAGAGGGGAAACGCAAGAGAGAGAAGGCAAGAAACTGGGAGAGTGTGCACTCGGGAGCGAGGAAGAGGAGGGAGGAGAAATCAGTGACCAAGAACACAGGAGCGAGGGAGGGGGCGGAGGGCGTCAGGAAAACAGTGAGAGAGCAGAGGCAGAGATGGAGGGGGCGAGGCAAAGGGAGAAAGATGTAAACAGGGGAGAGAGCATGAGGGAAGGGGGGACACAGACACCAAAGGAGTTCAAAGGAAAAAGATGAGACACAGACAGCGTGTGCCAGAGAGAAAATGAAAGAAAGGGGGTGGAGGACAGGGAGAAGCCACCAGCATGTAAAAAGGATGAGAGGAGAGGCCATCAGGGAGCTGCCCTGGTCAGCAGCATGGCTGGGCAGGACATCTGTGGTGACCAAGAAGCACTGAGCCCAGGACTCCCAAGAGGACAGAGTGCTGCGGGCGCGGGGCAGGGAGGAAGCTCCTAAGCCCCTGAGCCGCTGCTCTTCGCTCTCCGCAGCCTGTGAGTTCACGGAGCAGAGGGCAACTGAGGGTGAACAGGTGAGTCTGTGGTGAGCGCGGGTGTGGCCTGCCGTGAGCTGGGTGGGGACTTCCCTACATAGTGAGGAATGAGCCAGCATTCCTGCCTCAGTTTCCAGTCCATTTACCCACTTGTTCATTCCACCAAGCAACAAACGTTGCCTGGGCACCCCCAGGCTCCAGGCGCTGTGGTGGACGCTAAGAAAGCAAGTCCCTCAGATGCATCAGCCACACCCTGGACACAGGGGGAGACTCGCGTCCAGACGGGGTCGGGGCCCACGGCGAGGCAGGTGCAAAGCAGAGCCCAGAGTGCAGGCTCCTGACTGCCCACTCAGTTCCAGCCTCAGCCCAACCCGGTGTCTGGGCTGGCCGCCTCCTACTGTCCGGACCTAATTGTTGTCCCTTATCAAGGCTGAAAATGGCTCTCAAAGGACAAACCACCTTGAACATGTATTTCAGCCCTAAAGAACTAGAGCCAAGAATCTGCACCCTCCGCCGGCTGCGCCCCCATCACACATAGTCAAACACACTCAAACCACTTATACGTGTAACACGTGCGGCACACACTCTCCTCCACGCACACGCACTCTCACACCTACTCTCCCATCGCGCACACCTGCCAGGCTCACCGCATCGCTCCAGCTCACAAACCCACGCTGCTCCACACTCACCCACACACACTCCCTCCTTGAGTCCCAACATGCAGCCTCCTGCCACGGACTTCAGAACAAGCACAGCTTGGTCATCCTCGTTGCCTCCTTAAGAGGCCTTTTGGGCCTCGAGTGCCCTGAGACACAAGAGGCTGTAGACTGTATGTTGCATTTGACCTTCACACAAACTGTCCGCCTGGAAGACACCCCCCAGCTTTGCTCCCCAACTCAGAGCCTCCTTTCCCCAAATGGCTTCACCTTCTCAGCCTTCCTCAGGCCACCAGCTCCCAGGAGGAATGTCAAGCCTGGTAGGGACCTCCAGGATCAACCAGTCCCTACTGACCGGAGTCTCCAGGACACCAGGCTCAAATCCGGGACTGCTCGGCTCAGCCTGTTTCCCGCTTTCCAATACACAGTCCCCTCCATGTGCACATGTAGCAGTTGCATGTCAGGATCTCTTTTGAGATTATCAATAAGCAGGGTGGGTAGGTAGACATCATCAATATTTTACAAACAAGGAAACTGAGGTTGACTCTCTCACATCCCACATCCATTCTGTTAGCAAATTCTATCATCTCTCCTTTAGAATACATCCAAATTCGAATCTAATCAAGACTTTAGATCTAACCTTCCGTTTACAGGCAATAGAGGGGACAGAAGAATAAAGTAAAGGACCCTACAAAGAAGCAATCAGCCAAATCCAGAATGCAGGACATTCTAGAGCACAACTGATCCAATTCTTTCAACAAATCAACCACTTGAAAACAAAAACAGAAAAGCAGGGAAGAGACTGCTCCAGATTAAAAGAGATTCAAGAGACACAAAGATCTAATACAATATGTGGATCTGTTTTGGAACCCAGATCATCAAATCAACTGTAAAAAGACACATGTTTCAGTCAGGGTCCTGGAAAGAGAAGGCACCCTGAAACTGGGCAATCGTGAAGACACATGGGGCCAGGCACAGTGGCTCACGCCTGTAATCCCAGCACTTTGGGAGGCCAAAGTGGGAGGATCATTTGAGGCCAGGAGTTTGAGACCAGCCTGGGCAACATACGGAGACCCAGTCCCTACAAAAGAAAAAAATTTTTGTTTGTTTTAAAGATTCGTAGGCAGGGCTAAAGAATAGTGTAGTATTCAGAGGCTGCCAAGAGTGGGAATCCCTTATCACCGGCAAGGCTGAGAGGAGGGAGCAGCTCCTAAAACCCAAAGAGGCTGTTTGGGAAGGACAGCCAGACAGGAGATGTGACCTTGGAGAGAAAATTGCAGCTGATCCTGCAACTGGCAGAGAGGGAACCAGGAAGTAAACACCCAAACCTCTCTCTTCACCTGTGCTCTGACGTCTTACCAGTGCCTCCGGGTTGGCTGAGCCCAAGAAGCAAGGGACATTTTATATAATAAATGTTTTATTATATAAAATTTTATTATTTTATTATATAAATATTATATATATTTATATATAATATATAATATAATATATAATAAATATATATTATTTATATATTATATAAATATTATTTTATTATATAAAATGTCCATAGTTGTAGAAATATTTAGTGGATGAAATTACAGGCATTTGCCTTAAACTATTACAGCAAAATAAGAAGAAAGGATGGAGACAGAAAACGAGAGAAAAGAAGCAAAGAAAGGAAGAAAGAGAAAGAAAAGAAAGAAAGTGAGGAGGGAAGGGAGGAGAGAAGTATGGACAGATAGAGAGAGAGGAAGGAAGGATGAGAGGGAGGGGGAAAATAGAGAATGTGGCAAAATATTTATAATTATTGAATCTGGGGAATGGGTGTTGTAGTAGACTGAATACAAGCCCTCAAAGATATCAGGTTCTAATCCATGGAACTTGTGCATGTTACCTTATATGGCAAAGATTTTGCAGATGGGCCTTAATACAATCATAAGTATCCATGTAAAAGAGAGACTGAGGGGGACTTGACTTCAGACAGGAAAGGAGAAGGCAATGTGACCACAGAGGCGAGCAATGAGACCACAAATCAGAAAGGCCTGTAGCCGCAAGGAACAGATCCTGCCTTAGGGCCTCTGGAGGGACAAAGGCTCTGATAGCACCTTGATTTTGGCCCAGTGACACTGATTTTTGGAGTTCTGGCCCCCAGAGCCATAAGAGAATAAATGTGTGTTGTTTTAAGCCACCTGGGTTGGGCTACCTTATCATAGCAGCCACATGAAACAAATACAAGAAATATAAGGATTTATTGAACTCTGTGTGTATGTTTGAAAACTTTCCTAATAAAGTTGTGTTTGAGCAGGCACAATTCATAACACTGCTTATGAAACAGTCTTTCCAAGGAAATATAAACAGAATCAACAAGTTCAGCCAGAAATTTACAGGCAATACAGAAAGGAACAGATCATAGAGATGCACCCAACAAACCCAAACAATGCAGAATGGTAGAGAGCAAACAACCTGGTTTCTTAAACAAATAAGTTGGAAGGAAGAAAAAAGATGAAGGGAAAAACTACAGATTAAAAGAGAATTAAACTGCCGGGCGCAGTGGCTCAAGCCTGTAATCCTAGCACTCTGGGAGGCCGAAGGGGGCGGATAGTTTGAGCTCAGAAGTTTGAGACCAGCCTGAGCAAGAATGAGACCCCA